AGGCCGGCACTGCGCCCTGACCCAGACACACGACCCTGCAGCCAGGGGCCCTGGGGACAATGGCTACAGATCCAGCTCAGCCAAACCCCACACAGAACTGACCCTCCTTCTGGTTTGGCCCCTCTTCCGAGGGGCTGGCCTCATGGGGCTGGTGCCGCGAAGAAGCCAGTGCACATACCATGCTCTGTAGGGCACGTGGCCCAGAGTAAGAGCTCAGGCAATGCCAGGCACACTGGCAGAGGTGGGGACCAGACACCCATATGTAAGTGAGTAAAACCCTGTGTTACACTAGCTGGCAACTGGGAGGTAGGGAGGTGGACTGATGGAGTCCACTCATTGAGGAAGTGCCATTTGGGGTATGACCCTCTATGTCCCGGGACCACACACGGGCTGGCAAGGCCCTTGCAAAGGCCCTGACACTGGGCCTCCCTAGTGGCAGATCAGGGAATGGCCCAGAGAGAGCCCCCGGGGAGCCTGCTATAAAAGAGGCCCCCCACTCCAGCAAGGTGCAGATGCCACAGGGCGAACAGCCCCTCTCTCCCTGGGCCCTGGGGGTCCTCCTAGACAGCCCTCTGCTAAGCTGCTTCAGGGAAAGGGGACCACACTGTGCATCCTGTTTTACAACATGCTTCCTCCACTTAGCATAACAGCATTAAATACTTGAACTTCCATCTTTGTAGTGGATGTGTGTCTTTTAAAAAGATGCTGTATCATAATGAATTTGTACTGGATGTGTATCTTTTTTCAAAATGCTGTATCATAATGAACTTATCCAATCTGCAGTTATTGGATTTTACTCTAAAACAAAGCAGGCTGTGGGGAGTACTCTGCGCAAGCACATCTGGGCTGGGAGGGCTGTGGACCCACTGAAAAGGAACAGCATGAAACACTCCAGTCCTGGAGCACACTACCCCTGTCCCCACCACGAGTCCATCTCAGCTCAGGAGTTCCACTAAAACTCTAAAACAAAGCTGAAGAGAACATCTGTTTCCTTAGGATACATTCCAAGAAGTGGAATTGCTGGGACTACTTATAATGCAAAAGAAGATACATTTTTTTAAACTGAGTGCCTGTTGTGACTCTTTTAATAAAGTATCACTAGAGGAACAAGCCAGTGGATGAACTGAAGACTCAGAGGTGCTGTTTGGTTGCTTTAAAGAGCTGCAGAACCCCTGCTACCCTGGGTACTCGTTTCCTTTCCAGACTGGCCACCCTGCCCCACCCTCAGAGGCTGTGCAGTGATGGCCCTACATCCTTCAGATTTACTTCATAAGCTTCCCTTAAAGGCAGGTACCATTCTC